TTTTTCGACATTAAAAATTTATTTTCATGGTACTCCATGGTATTACTGTTTCAAGAACTGACGGCTTATTTAAACACCGAAGCTAGTTTCTAAGTTTATGAGGGGAGTCTTGGAGGCTTTAAAAATTCTCGGGTAGGTGTCGCTAGTATGAAATATACTTTGTCTTTATTTTCATTATGGTTGATGATGGTCCAGAATGCCAAATCCGGTCACTCCTACGTTCTTAATAAAGAATACAATATTATCCACGAACATTTAGAGAGGCTATCGAAATGTAAAAACTCCCCATTGGTTTATATCGAAATTTAAATAACTTTTTAAAAGTTATTTGCTTTCAGTATTGTTACAAATTCTATAAAATTAAAGTATATATATTTGTAATGTATAAATGTAACTGTGGTATATTTGATTCGATGCAATTTTTATGGCAAATTTAAAACAGTTTATGGCCAATAATACAAAACATAATTTTAAAATATGAGCTTTACAAAATACTTTACTGCTACAAAAATAATAACACGGTATGTTATTACATGGCATGTCATTCACAGAACTTCAAAATAATATCTTAAAATCCATGTAGGACTGGTATACTTAATGAAAGTATACAAACATAAATAATTCTAAACTGTCGATTACTATAAAAATATTTTTTCTTTTATATATTTTAATACGATTTTTAATACAAATTATAGTTCACTTTGAATGCAACTAGTGAACAAGTAAATTATTGTAAAATTTAATGTAAAAATAACGATCATCATCATGACATTTAACTCATACATGTGTCATTATAATGTTTTGTACGTCATAATGTCGTCAAGTCTATGATATTTGTGTTATGTATCCTTTGGTTGTAATTACAAAAAATTGCCAATTTTGGTATATGTCCAATATTGGATATATTCAATTCGCATGAAACTAAGTAGTAGATATGCCTGGTCCTTTTACAAGAATAAGTAAGGCAGCAATTAAATTAAATTAAATTAAGGCGATTTTGAATTTAGGCGTTATAGAAAAATATTATTAATATTAAGAATATGAAGAGTCAAGAGCATATGAAGTATTTAGGTTAGGAAATGAACCAAAAATAATATTGATCATTAAAATAAAAAACCTCAAGTAAAATTCCAAGAAGACGAAATGTTTAGATAAAGGATATTCTAACTTAAGAACTAGAGGAAATAAAAGAGTTATCTTTCGTTTTCTTTATTGGTTAGTATTCTTTAAAGAGTAAATAAGCAAAGTATGTCCGAGTCCAGTATGGAAAAATTGTGAGGTCAGTCCAATATAAAGGATAGAAGTTGACGTCACAATTGCAGTAGATCTAGGGAAATTTGAAAGTACCATAAAAGGTGTCTGTAAGAGTAAGACAATGAGCTAGATGTGTGTGTGAGAGTAAGACTCTCACTATAAGGACGTGCGAGATGTCACGTGATAGATTTGGAACAGAATACGATGACACAAAAAAATTAAACATGGCAGCATGTTATGAAGACTTTAAGCTTATTGTGTCTAAACGACTTAATATACAGAGACGTGCAAGATATTCTTCTTCTTCTTCGTCCAGCCATTCACGTCCACATCTGAACATAAACCTCTTCAAGTCTTCCTTTCCATTGTTTTTTATTGTACGCTACTTGTAGTCAATTTTTCCCGGCAGTCCTTTTCAGATCATCTGTCCATCTCATAGGAGGTCTGCCTCTGGGTCTTTTGTGTTGGTATGGTCTCCAGGTTAAAATTGATCTGTGCCATTTGTTTAGATCGCTCCTAGCTACATGTCCAGCGTATTCCCATTTCAACTTTAATGATTTTTGCACCACATCGGTGACTTTGGTTTTCTGTCTTATCCATGTGTTTGTTTTCCTGTCCTTAAGTGATATACCTAGCATTGCTCTTTCCATCGCGTGTTGAGTGACTCTAAATATATTCATATTCTTTTTTGTGATTGTCCATGTTTGTGCCGCATAAGTTAATATCAGAATAATTCATGCATCAAAAACTTTAGATCTAAGATGTAATTGAGTTTGTTGATTTCTGAGTATATAGTTCAGTTTACCGAATGCTGCCCAAGCTAACTTTCTTCTTCTTTTTATTTCTTCAGTTTTAATTTCCCTATTTAGTATAATAGCAAGATATTACAAGAGAGTTTACAGAATAAAGAACGACGACATAGAAAAACGAATCATGGCGGCATGGCATAAATACTTTGGGCCTATAGCACGCAAAAGGCTTGGCCTACAGAGACGTACGAGGTGTCACGTGGTAGGATTTTACAAATGTTATTACATGAAAGACCTAGTATAACGAAAAGTAGCATATTATGTCACATTTAACAGATTATGTGTCATTTGTCGTAAAACGTAACATAGACGCAATATCTCCTACGCATGATTACAATATGCTATTATTAAAACCCAACATACTTAATAGAGATAATAATAAATAGATAAATTTAAATATTATATTTGAACATATGTCACATTTTACGTAAATTGTCACATAATGCCACGTTTCAGTCTAGCTCTTGATTTTTGTCATGAAATCGTATTCTATTCATTAAATCTTACGCTGTGACACCTTGCAAATCTCTGTAAACCAATAAGTTTAGACACTATAAGCTTAAGGCCTTTATGATAAGACGCCATGTTAGATTTTCTGTCATCTTAATCCATTCGTTAAATTCTTTAACGTGACACTTAGCACGTTTGCACATTAAGCCTTTGAGCCACTATAAGCTTAAGGTCTTTGTGAAATGCCGCCATGTATCTATTATTTTTTTATATTGTCATATTTTTTCTTTACATCCTATCATGTTACAACTCACACGCACACATCTCGCTGCTTGTCTTACTCTTACAATATCCAATGCTTTTCTCAAAATTTCCAAGATTTTCCTGTCACAATTTCTCTAGACTGCGCCACGAAGTATTTTGTCTATCTAGTTTATATCTCTCTCTTCAATCCTGACCCCCCAGGGGGAGTGTAGTGGTCGACGTGATGTCGTGTATTGTCCGTCTCCAGAGATCTCTGTCTCTGGTCATTTCTTTTAATTCATGCATAGGTCTTTTGCATATTCCTGTAATTTGATCTATCCATCTTGTTGGGGATCTTCCTCGTGATCTTCGACCTTCTACCTTTCCTTGTATTATTAGTTTTTCCATGTTTTCTGTGTTTGCTCTCATAACATGCCCAAAATATTTTAATTGTTGGAGATGGACTTTACTAGAGAGTCGTTGGCTAACTTTTAGCTCTCTTAAAATTGTTTAATCTAGTTTATATAATTAATTTTATATTCCGTATTGTGCTTTTCTGGGTACTTTTATATTATCTGGGTACTCTTATAATCATTCATATTATTAACCAATCTATGACTCAATTTTCTTCTTCTTAGGGTGCCTGTCCGTTCCGAATGTTGGCGATCATTCTGGTTATGATGACTTTGTTGGTTGCTATAAGCAATAGCTGTGTTGAAGTCTTCCTGGGACCCTTTTTCCTTTAATTTTACCAAAATTGCAAGCAAAATGCATTGGAGTAGCTCGTATCTGCCTTGATTTCTCATTATATGTTCCAATTACTGCAGCTTACGGCCCTTTACGATGTTGACCAAATGCGCGGTTGTGTTCATCCTCCGCAGTACTTCTTCATTGGTGACTTTGTCTGTCCATGGTATCTTCAGGATCCTTCTGTAGAATCATAGCTCAAAAGCCTGAAGTTTTGATAGTTTTCGCCTTCAATGTCCACGTTTCTACTCCGTACAGAAGCACTGAGAACACGTAACATTTAAGGATCCTTATTTTTGTTTCTAGGGTGAGGTCCTGGCTCTTCAACACCGAGTTCGTAGTCAAGAATGCACTTTTTGCCTTTCCAATGCGACATTTAATTTCCTCTGTATTGTCCCACGACTCATTGATCATAGTTTCCAAGTAGTTGTACTGTGAGACACGTTCAATTCTCATTTGGTTTACATATAGATTTGCTCCAGTTATGTTTTCCTTGCTGATCATCATTGACTTGGTTTTGCTGGTGTTTATATCCAGTCCTTATGTTCTACTTGTTTCCGTTATATTGTTCATTAAATTTTGCAGCCCTTCTATGGTATTGGAAAACACTTATGTATCATCTGCATACCGCAGGTTGGTGAGCTTGACTCCATTTATTGAGATGCCTCATCAATATCTTTTAAAGCCTCTTCAAAAATGCGCTTACAGATTAAATATTAGTGGTGAAATTATGTACCCCTGTCTCACTCCCCTTAAGATTTTGACCTGATCTGTATATTTTTCATTAATTCGGAGCACCGCTGATTGATTCCAATACAGGTTAGCTATTATTTTTAAGTCTCTTCGTCAATCCCTGTCCTCTTCAGCACTTCATTTCATGCCTGACTCTATCGAAGGCCTTCTTGTACTTAATCAGGCACTTTTGCTCCTAATTTTTTGGGCAATCGTATGAACTCCAATTTTACATACCTATCAGAAAATATTAATTTATCATCTGCACATGTTGACTACCAGGTATCAGTATTTTCCACCAGTTTTCCATTGGAGGTTGTAGAGGATTTAACATTGTTCTTTATTTTTTTGCTGGTTTTTTAAAATTACAAAAATTCTGATGAAATTAGGTCGAACATAGTTGATATATACACAAGATGATTATGTAATCAAATAATACCTTCTAGTTTTCCGTACGATTTACTGTTTTATATTTAATATTAATTAATCTTTTAATTATGCAATTTATTATATTTTTTAACGCCTATTTTTCGCGTACACTAGTTTTCCTCTGGTGCCTCTATTTTTATTTTTCTCAATTCAATTATATGAAAATTCGGAATAGTAATGTATGTAGGATCTTAATTCTGAAATATTTGTGAATATTTTCACAAATAGAACGGTAGATACAATACTTAAATGCTTTACTTATTTTTGTAACAGAGCCATTAAATGCTCCTACATAAGCCAAGGTAATAATAAGGCAAATTTCTAATTTTTCTTCAGGTGGAACGACAAGGGCACAATGGGAAGATGTCACCGGGTCCACACCGCTAACGTTCGTCAACGACTGTGTATCATTCACTACGACCGTGTCGGCCAGATTTTGGCTCATGGACTGTAGAAATATTGGCGACGCTACCAAAATGGCAACCGAGCTTTACAAGTGAGTATACTTCTAATTATGTATAGTTTTCCCAGCTCATCCATTGACAATAATCCTTCGGTAGAGGTGGCTCATCCCAGAAGGCCTACTAAGGCGGACTGGAAATTAGCTACCGACATCACGAGACCGGAAAAAGTCAGGTGGGCCATCAATAAATTCCAGCCATACAAATCACCTGGAATGGACGGGATTTATCCAGTCTTGCTACAGAAGGGACAGGATGTGATCATCCCGCATCTAACAAAGATCTTCAAAGCTAGTTTGGCATGGAGATATATTCCAACCGCATGGCGAAGGGTGAAAGTCACATATATCCCCAAGGTTGGTAGGGTAATGGACCAGACCCCCAAGTCATACAGACCAATAAGTCTATCCTCTTTCCTAGCAAAAACGTTGGAAAGATTGATAGACAGGTATATTAGGGACGAAGTGCTGATGGAGAATCCACTTAGCGATCGCCAATATGCATACCAGCCAGGAAAGTCAACTGACTTGGCGCTGGATGATCTTAACAGACTGCTCTCAAAGTCGCTAGATGACAAGGAGATAGCGGTGGCGACGTTTCTGGACGTGGAGGGAGCGTTTAATAACGTCTCCTTCGAGTCTGTAACGAACGCGCTTAAAAGGAGAGGAGTTCCTGCCTTCATATGCGAGTGGACAAAGGCGACCTTAACAAACAGGATCATTGTGTCCTCGTTAGGTGAAGCCACTATTGAAGCGAAGGCAGGAAGCGGCTGCCCACAAGGAGGAGTTTTATCCCCATTACTGTGGGCTACGCTTATGGACGACCTACTTAATACACTGTCCAGGGAGGGTTTTTACTGCCTGGGTTATGCGGACGATTTGGTAATTGTAGTCCGAGGACGCTTTACCAAAATAATTTCGGAGAGACTTCAAGTCGCTCTGAGGATGGTGGACAGCTGGTGTGAGGAAGAAGGCCTAAAGGTTAACCCTAAAAAAACATCTGTTGTTCCCTTCACCAGGAAAAGAGCACTGCAAGGCTTACAACCACTAGCGCTCAAGGGAGTAGAAATCCCATTCACAAGTCAGGCCAAGTACTTAGGTGTAATATTCGACCAGAGGCTGACATGGAATGCACACATTCAGAAAGTCACACAGAAGGCCACTATGGCTCTGAATACATGTAGACGAATGTGTGGTAAGAATTGGGGGTTAAATCCTAAAATGAACCTCTGGTTATACACAAGGGTTATAAGGCCCATGATAACTTATGGTTCAGTGGCGTGGTGGAACAAAACGCAACAGTCCGGGGCGATTCGATTGCTCAGTAGCACACAAAGGCTTGCATGCTTGAGTGTTACAGGAGCCATGAGAACAGCCCCAACGGACGCGCTAGAAGTTCTGCTAAACCTACCACCTCTACATATATACATACAGAGTGAAGCCAGATCAACAGTACATCGGTTGATCCAAGGCCAAGCTCCAATAAGTATGATGCAGGGAGCTGATAACTTAAGGCTATACCAGGACTTAAAGGCAGACCCCGTTCTAGGAATGCCTGTAGACCGAATGGTTACGAGGTATAGTTTTAACAAAAATTTTCAAATTACAATACCAAAAAGAGAGGACTGGGAAACTGGTCCGCCGCTAACAGCAAACTCAATATGGTATACGGACGGCTCCAAAACGGATACAGGTACGGGGGCTGGAATATATGGCATAAAACCAAGGACGGAAGTCCGGGTATGTCTAGGAACATACGCGACCGTATTTCAAGCCGAATTAGCTGCTATACACAGGTGCGCTATGGAACTAATCGGCCGAAATGTAGATAACGACTCCATCGTCATCTATTCGGATAGTCAAGCGGCTCTAAAGGCTCTCAGTTCGGTACAGGTCGATTCATGGCTGGTATGGAACTGTTTGGATGTCCTCTCTCAGGTAGGAAGTCGAAACAGGTTGACACTTGCCTGGGTGCCGGGACATAAGGGCCATCGTGGCAACGAGAAGGCCGACGAATTGGCCCGAGAAGGCGCATCTACGCCACTGGTTGGTCCGGAACCCTTCTTTGGAATCGCAAATACGATAAAAAGGGCAGCCATACACAAATGGGTGCAACAGAAGTCTCTTGAGTGGTGGAACAACTCACCAGGACAGAGGCAGGCCAAACAGTTCATCAAAGAACATTCGGCTAAATTTACAGCAGACTTACTTTCGCACAGACGCAGGACTGTCAGAATGATAGTGGGTCTGCTCACTGGGCACTGTAGACTCAATAGACACTTGAGTCTCATAGGCCTGACAGAAGAGGACACCTGTCGTTTCTGTCTGGAAGAAGAGGAAACCGCTCTACACGTTCTGTGCCATTGCGAAGGTCTCGCACGAATGCGGTTTCTAGAACTCGGAGAGGAAAAACCGGAAGCACCAGGCTACATGAAAAGGCCACTATCAAGGCTGTTGAGTCTCATTAAGAGGACCAAGCTAGATGAAGTGCTTTAAAATAAGGGGGGAACACAATAGATCTGCAAAGGTCGCAGTGTATCAGGCTCTATTGGCCGCCCCATTTTCTACATTCTACATTCTATGTATAGGTATAGAGCAAGACGTAAACACACATGACAGATTTTGTAAAACCTCAGCTCCGAGTGACATGTGTGTTCCAATGGAACAATGTCCAAAAATCAAACCGGCCACACTCCGTCATGGGCACGATACACTTAAGGTCGATTCAGACACATCAGTCCCGTCACAGTCTCGGCGCCGAACCGGTCCTGTTTGGTCACAGAACTATCAACTATCTGACAGCTGGGAAACTGTTTGTCAACTGATGAGTGTGGATGCCGGCAACATATTTGTATTAAAGAATATTTTGTATGACGGATTGTTCGGTTCGGCGCAATCACTGTGACGAGACGTGACTGATGTGTCTGAATCGACCTTTACAACGGTATATGCAGGAGCATCGCACTCACAGCGTGTGACGTCACTTGCGAAGCAGAATTTGAAACTGACTGTAACGTAGATATGAATTATTTTAAACAAAAATTAATAATATGAGTTTAAACTCATGTGTAATATGTAAAAATTGTATTTGTATTTACTTTGCAAAGTAATGCATTTGTTAAATATTTCCTGTATGTTATGAATTTTCAAGAAAAACATAAAATATAATGCATGAAGAGGATATACTGAAATAAATAATCTGAGAAAGAAATAGATAAGAGGAATAGTAACAATCGGACGAAAACTTTCATTCATGGAATTCACTCTCATGTAATTTATGAATACCGTCATTTTATTCAACAAATCTTTTTGCTTATTTATGTCAGTACCAAAAGCATTTTGTCCTGGACACTTTCCAAATTTGGATCTGGCATTTAGCATATCAAACCAATCGTTAAATAATTGGGTTATATTAGCAGATTTCTTCCAATAACTATTCTTGGGCATAAGTCCGTTTTCTCCAACATACTCCATGTACTTTGCTACAGAATTTGAGAACAACTGTACAGCTGGTTTCACCCGTTGTCTCATAGATCCTGTGAGGTGAAGATGATTATGAGTTAATTTGTGGACGAATGTTAATTCTGTCGTTGAAATATTCAGCAATGCCTCATAATAATCAATATTAATAATATGATTATCTATGACAAAACCATTATCTATTAAATGATTTCGAGCTAGTTTTATTAAATGTGAGACGTCTGCATAGACAAAAACATTTAAAGTATTATCACAAGGATGTTTCAAAAAGCAATTTGTATCATGTCCAACAATTAGTTTTGACCACAGACTGACATTTGTAGTACCCATATCACTAGTAATTGCTACTACGGTGAAATTTGCATAAAACAATTCTACAATAATTGACTTGAGAATTTCTTCAGTCATAACTTGATCAAATTGGTAATACACTGGTTGTTTCCAGTTAAAAGTTAAACCACGCGCGATCACTGCTTGACAAGATTTATTAGGTCCCAAAACTTGTTGATGTTTCTTATCGATATCAATTCTATTTGACAAATAAATTTCATCAAATGAAAGTATACATATTATTTCAACTTGACTATACTCTGTTGATTTTTTTTTTCATTAAATTCAATACGCTACTCAAAACCCCTGGATCAAACTCTGATATCCAACGTCGAAGAGTAGACATGGCCGGTAAAGGAAAACTATTTGCTTTTAGAAACCTATATGACTTGGGACTTACACTACGTAAAGAAATTGCCGAAGCAATATCTTCTGCTGACCAATGAATATTTGTATTGTTTGGACTAAGTAGTTTTCTGATTCGACCTGAAGTAAAAACAATTTTCATTGCAGATTCATATTTTTGAATGAGTTTTTGGTTTCTAATTCTTGTAAGAGTAATGCATTCTGCTCCTCCAACATCTTAATTCTTTGTTTAAACTCAACTTCACTATTTGATCTGAAAAAAATACATTACTATTAATTTGTCCATATCAGTTTATACATGCGATAATCCATCAGACTTTAGGGTAGCTAGGAGAGCTTTTCTCACTATGAATGACTGAAGTTAATTTTTAAATTATTTTGGACTTGTTTTAGAAAATGTATGTTCTGCCCAAATTATGTGAATCCCCGACAAATTATGTGTTTTCGGCCACTTAGCCGCCAAATTGGCAAAATAAGAGTGCCCGAAGAGTCTAACCATCGAGCCCACATTTATCGGTATGTGTCCTCGATGCTCAGGTTCCGCAAGCTTGGAACGTTTTTTTTTTGTGGTTCTGGTTGTTTTGGATGCTTTTTATTATAAATACGGGTTGTGGAACTCCGGGAGTGAACAAGGAGAGGAAGCATAGCTTTCTTATTGTCTAAGCAAGGAGCGAAAGTTTTAATTAACTTTAATTTATTTTATTTTAGTTTTCTTTATTTTATTCTTTTTATTCTATTTTATTTCTATTTTATTCGATAATCAATTCGATTCAATAATCTATTCGATTAGATAATTGATTTGATTTGATAATCGATTAGATTAGGTTCAATAATGGATTCGATTTTGATCCTACGATCTA